TCTTCCTTGACCCTTGCCTTCGTTACCAATTTGAGGCCAAAGAAATATTTCCTAACATAACTGTGACTAGTCTCTGCTTGTAACTTCTGGATATATCCTCATGTACCTATTTCATGCCTCTGAAAGAACCTGTCTCTGTTCGCTCTTTCAATTCTTCTCAATAATCGGTACTTCATTATCATGATTTCCCTGGTGTTTCTGTCTTCTAATGTCTCTCCTTTAACATCGTACCCCTCAGCTCTGGTACTGGTCACATTGAAACTTCTCCATTTTTTCCAGTTTCTTAATATGCCTGATCAGATGTAGGCTCCATTCTGGTGCTGCATACTCTAAGATGAGCCTTGCATATGTCGTGAAAGACTCTTCGTTGAGATTCCTGGAAGATGATATTTGATGTATCAAACAAGCATTCTTTGCAGAGGTGTTTTGGCCTGGTGTGCGCCTAAGGCAATGTGATGGGCACTATTCCCACTTCAGGTCGTCCTTCTTGAGTCAGGTTTGCAGCCTTTGCCCCTTTCATGGGCTTACAATCTGCTTTGCGGGGAGTGTTGTTTATTAGCCTCTTGAAGCTATGTAGGAAGTTAGCTGCCACAGTTTCTTATTCTCGTTCATTCTACTTTATAACTACCTTTCAGCTGAAAAGGCATTTCTTTTCATTTGAGTTTGAAGCTGCCAGCTATGTCCCTTCATTTTAAGTAACTTTGATGTCACCTGTTAAATAAAGTACCTGAGGAAAAGGCACACATTACAGAACAAGCTTTTATTGTGACAACGTTTCGCTCTGCATAGAGCTTTATCAAGTCACGATTTGCTAACGTTTTACAAAAAGCTGAATTTTATCCCACGAAAGCTTATTCTGAGGTGTTCTTTCTTCACTGTTGTTGATGCTGTGTCATCTGGATATAACTATAGTGCCTGAAGAAGATCTCTGGTGATTCTTTCTTACGAAGGTCACTCAAAATATTACCTTCACTTTAATGTCAATGTAATTATGCAGTACAGATTTTAAATTTGCGTACAATATCACATTCTGCCTACAGAATTTTGGCTTGGCTGGGGAAAATGCACTCTTGCATGCATTAACTAGTACAAAGAATTTATAAAATATCCTACCTAATGCCAAACGGTTGATGATATATTTTATTTATAGTATTTTAATGTAAAACGTGACAACTTTTCATTTAGCATTAATTCGTTGGTCTTCTCCATAAACTTTCCTGTTTTATGAGGGATGCACATCCATAGAAGTGGTAAGTTCCTTAAATTTTAGGGTCATCGATAACTGACAAACAAATGCATTAACAAGCACTATTGGTAAAGACACCAAAACCCGGTTAAAGAGAGAGTGTAATACATGTTGTCGGGAGCCTTGTACACATGTAGCAGTAAATTTCTTGATAGTGAATTTAGAACTATATGAGATCACGTCCGTATTTTGTAATGCTGATATATACCTCATCGAAGCTTATTTCCTTTTAATAAAGACGAGAAGACATATTATAACTTTAACTCGAATACATAATACAAATAAGAGAATGTGTTGATGACGTAAAACAGACCCTTATCATCAAGTTCTTGAATATTTGAATTCCAAGGTTGGTTCCACAAATGATAATATTGTGAAACACTAATCAAGAATTCTGCCACATTTTTCACAGGGTTGTGGATTTTCGGATACTTGCTTAAAGTGTGACGGCTTATGTATACGACAGACTGAGAAACTTCTTGACATCAGACTAAAACAGCATAAATATACTATGACTGCTGGTCTGGAAGTTAGTGTCTCGTTTATGCATCCTAAGGATATATATTATTATTACCTGTTGACCGAACCGATGCCGAAAACTATATTCCCATGCTTTGTTTAGTTCATCATAAACATCTTAAATATATATATATATATATGATTATATATATATATATATATTATATATATATAAATATATATATATAATATATATATATATATATTATAAATAATATATATATATATTAATATATATATATATATATATATATATATATAAATATATATTATATATATATATATGCAATAAGATCACAGTAAACAGGTGATTTCAGAATATGCAAAACAACCACTCTGAAAGAATAGAGAAATTCCAAGCGCTTTCGTGACTACTCACATTTTCAAGGAACTATGAAAGTAAAGCATCCCAAAGGGAAGCTATATAAGGGGTCTGGCCGGCACCTCACTATCAGATCCCCACAACGGTTTAAACACCTGACGCGCGCCGACCCAACTTGGATAGGTCCTTGGCACAACTCACCCCACAAACTATTCTACCCAAGAAATAAGAAATTTTAAAGATTATTTGTCCAGTGATATTATAAATTCTTCCCAAATTCTATTAATTATAAATGGATCTAATTTATATAAACCAAAGGAAATATTCATATTATTATCAAAACTGCTTTTATGAAACAAGATTCAATTATATTCCTGTCGACCATGGACTTGCTTGATACTACTTTCTCAACTTTTGAAATCAATTGGATGGTTAAAATCTCTTACATGAATAAATAGAGCATTGGAAAACTTGTCCAGTTCTAATGCTATATTTATGTTGTTTTAATCTTAGTTCGAGATTTTTACCAGTTTGACCGTAATAAACTTTATCGCAAATTTAAAAGGGAAACTTATAGACACACCATCAGCATTTTGGGGGAATTTTTTTATCAAAATTTTTTTTTACTGTATCAAGATTTTTGAAAAACAACTTTAAAAATTAAAAAATCTTTAAGAAGAGAAGGCATATCAACCAAGTTTTCAGGTAAGGGAAAACCCAAACTATTTTTAGTTGAAAAAGGCGGGTTTGCCCTTTTTTTGGGATTGTAAAAAGTTTTTCAAAACCAACTTTTAAAAGATTTATCAATTACATTTTTTGGGGTATTTTAAATCATTACCTTTTTCAAAAATTTGGGGTTTTCCTCATCTATGAACTCATTTTGATAATAATATAAAATTTTTTGGTTTATATAAATTAGATCCATTTAAATTAATTGAATTTGGGAAAAATTTAATATACACTGGACAAATAATCTTTAAAATTTTTTTTCTTGGGTAAAAATTTTTTTGTGGGGTATTGTGCCAAGGCCTTCCAAGTTGGGTGGGCGCGCGTCAGGTTTTTTAAACCCGTTGGGGGAAATTGAAAGTGAGGTCCCGGGCCAACCCCTTATATAGCCCCTTGGATCTTTACTTTCAAGTTCCTTGATAAGTAGTAGTCACGAAAGCGTTGGTTTTCTCTATTCTTTCAGAGTGGTTGTTTGCAATAATATAATATATAATATATATATATATATAAATATTTATAAAAAATATATAAATTATATATATATATAAAATATATAATATATAATATAAATATTAATATTCGGCCGAATTGAAAACGGCCAAATTAGCAAGAACTCATTTAAAATTAAGTTTTTTCAAAAATTTTTCTTTTATCTTTAAAATAAAATTTTTTTAATCAATGTTAATGAAAACAATTTTTTTTGCAACAAAAAATTTTAAAAAATTCCAAACCCTTTATTTAAAAAAAAAAAACAATTTTTTTTTAGCCTAACCCAACAAATATTTTTTTAATTTTCCCCTTTACAATAATTTAACACTAAACAAACACAATGAAAAATTTTTTTCTTATGTTCAGAATTTTTTTGGGAAATTACATACACAAATTTTTCTTTTTGTCCAAAATTGGCAAATGAGCGTTGCTATTTAAGCCAAGATCGCAAATTCCCCCTTCGGCACGAAAATATATAATATATAATAATAGTTTTATATATATATATATAAATATATAAATATATATATATATATGTTTTTATAAAATATTAAATTTATATAAAATAAATAATATAATATATATATATATATATATATAAATAATATATATAAAAAATATAATATATTATAAAAAATTAACACATGGGCCATTCCCACCAAGGCAGGGGGCCTGAAAAAGAAAAATTTCATCATCATTCACTCCATACTGCCTTGCCAAGGGGTCTTTATACTACAGTTATAAAACTGAAACAACTTTAAACACCCCCCTTCAGAGTGTAGACACTGACCCCCCACACCAGGACTCAAGTCCGGCCTGCCGGTTCCCTAACCCCTTCATAAATGTTACTTTGTCAACTCCAACACACGACAAGTTTTAAAATTTAGTCTCCAATCACTCCTATCAAATTCGCTACCAAGCTTGCGGGGAAGTTCAAGCCCCTCGCACACAAAACCTCCTTTACCCCTCCCCCAAAACCTTTCCCGGGCCGACCCCACCCCTTTTCCCTCCCACAGTTTTATCCCCTCTCGAAGTCATTCTGTTTTTTTCATTCTCTCTACATGTCCAACCACCCAACAACCCCTCTTCAGCCCTCGGAATATTTTGGGAAATCCCCACCTTCTCCAATTCCAAAACTACGATTCTCTGCATTTTATTCAAACCACACATTGCCCTCAAAATGACTTTTCCACTCCCTCCAGCCCCCCCGTTGCAACATTCATCATCCATGC